AAAAGTGTAGGCGTATTTCCTAAATGAAAAAAAAATAAAATTATTAAAATGGCATAGAATCTATGTAATAAATTGATATATAATTCCACCAGATAAAAAATTATAATATATTTTACTTACGGTGCAAAATTGTGTGTGCGTCCATAATAGTTGAAGGAACAACATAATCCTTGGCTGGACATAACTCTTTGGAAAATTGATTCGCAATTTACTTCACTAGATTTCCACATACATCGTTTTATCATATCATTACATTGAGGTGCTAACTAAAAATAATTTCAAATATTTTAAAATACCCTAAATATAAAAGAAAATTATTCTAATATTCTTAAAATGCTAGAATGTATTTATATTAGAATGTTAACACTTCAATTTATTTTTACAATTATATATTATATGACTAAATATCAATATCACAAACTCTAAATTTCTATATTATAATATTATTAAAAAACATATATAACTAAAAAAACAAATTAGAGTTCTGAAGAATATTGGTTACAAAAATTCTCTATAATATTGAAAAATAAACATTGCTGAAATTAAAGTTAAATAAATTTAGAATGTATTTAAAACTAAATTTGCAATAAAGTCTTAAAAATTATAAATTATAGATCATATAATATTTATTATATGAGCTATATAATTAACTAATATTTCTGTATATCATTTCATAACAGTTTTATTAAAGAAATTGTAAAAATATATAAAAATGAAAATATATCTTTTTTATATTAAAATTATTGTTTAGATTATTAGAATTAAATAAACAACATTCTTTATCTATTACAACTTTGAATTTCAAAATTTGTTGCAATACTAAAACATTGCAAATAGCTATTAACTTAGATTTTATTTTGTTGTGATAAAATTCTGAAAACAGTATAGGAATTATTATCTGAAATACATTAATTATATGGCCAAGAATAATTGAGAAATCTATAGAGCTTAAGAAATAATTAAAATTTCTCTTAATACTTATTCAGAAACAAATCTGTATTACCCATACATAAGGTAAAAATTCGAAAACTTTTAGATAGTAAATCATTTAATTTAATTAGGTTACATTATTTTAAATAAACAACTTTCTTAATTATTAACAAGTTATATTATAACTTCGAATAATGAAAAATGTATTTAATATCAAAAATATTTAATATTAGTTATTTATTGCTTGTTAGAGTTTATATTGCTATGATAAAGTACTAAAAATAGTACAAGCATTTTAATGATAATAATAATATAGTCAAAAAAATTTTTTTTTATATAATTGCATGATTTGCATTAATTTTTCTTGGAAATGTTCTCGGAATGGTTTTTTGGAAAAACAAAACTGTAACTAAGAAATTGATGCATACTAGAATTATTATTGATGTGTTGAATTTTGGTTTTTGATTAAACCAGCCTAATTATCGAAACTAAATTAAAGTAAAAATATTAATGAAAGCATATAAAGAATTATTGTGAAATTAATAATAATAAATATTTATGAGAAAAGTTTTCCAATATTAAAATTAATTCAAAGATTTTTAATTATGGTCACATGGTCAAGAATAATTAGATTTTATACTTATAGTTTTATATAAAAAAATCATTAGAATTTCACTAACGAATGCATAACAAATTACTCAGAAAAAAGTGTGCACGAAGATGTTATTAGTGAAAGAATTCCAACGACTCTTGATACTAAATTATTTAATTTAATCAATCTACTCACATTATCCATAGCATATTCCACAGTGATATTATTAATGGCAAATAATTCCTCTAAATCATTTGTTGCCTGTGTGGTGTTGGCGCCGAAAGAATGATATGCTGTCACCAAAGTCCGTAACATTCTTATTGCATCTTCAATTGAGACGTCCTTGGGTCTTTTTCTACATAAAATTAAAAATTAACAATTTGATAAATAAATTGCTAATACTTGCATTCTTTCAAGATTCTTTAAATATTACAATTTTCTGGCCATTCTAACCGCCGCTGATCTGGAAATTCTATTAATATTGCAAATTGTTACTGCAGGGAAGGGTATGTTCCAAATGCCATGGTGGGTGCTCTCTATAACCTAGAAAATAAAAAATAAAAATTATCGTTCAGAACCTTAAATATTTTCCTTTAAAATATAATACGACTACTTACCATTAAAGTTTCTGAGGTGCTACTATGTAAAGAAAAATACAAAAATGTTATTGCAGTGGACCATGCAGCTAGAGTCATCACAGCCCAAATTATTCTATAAGAAGAAAATTAATACAAATTTCAATTTGTTTACAATATCACAATTATTAACATTTACAGAAATATTATTAAAAATCGTTTGGAGAAACCATTATAAATGAGTTAGCAAAAAATGTACATAATAATCACTAATGCATAAAATATGCAATATTCATTATAAAATAAAATAAACTAGTTGGTATTGGTATTTTCCCTTGAGGCAAGTTACATGAGCTTCCCGATATGTGTAAATAATCAATTTAATCAATAAAAAATAAATTAATTTATGAGTGATTAAAAGTATTCCGAGTGGATTTATTACGAACAATTTAAAACAAACGACACGTTAACTCGGAGTATTTTCTAAAAGCAAATTTTTACAAATCAATAATTTTTATAATTGAACCAGTTTCCGTAGAACTTTAATGGTCTAGTATGTTCATTAAGACCAAGTACTCTATCGTTATACTAAGTAAATCGTTTAATTTTAATTTTAATTTTAACAAACGTCAAAAAAACTACTCAAACTTTGATGAATGTTTAAGATTTAACTACTTGTCGTAAAGCCGTAATATTTCAGTAAGTTCTATAAGACCATGATATATATCGCAAAAAAAAATTCCATAAAAATCGGCTTATTTTTTTCAACAGTTAATTACAAGAAAACGGCTCGGTAGATTTTCACCTAAAACTAATCAGTATCATTCCCAATTAATATCTTTCGAACAGATTTTAATTTTTTAAAATCGATTCGGTAGTCTGAGCTTAAATGTGGACGAAAAGTTTAACTCTTTTTTTTTCCAAATTACAAAAAAACGGCTCGGCAGATCGTCGCGCAAAACTGACAAACGATAGTCCTAATTGAGATACGCACACATGCTTTGGTCTCATTCGATTCAGAATGGCTCAAAACGTCGAGAAAACATAAAATTAGCTTTATTTATTTATTAAATTATATATTAAGCATATAAATATATTACCATTAACACGATTTATTAATTTATATTAATGATAAAATTTTAATTAATTTACAATTTTAAATTCACATATTATCCATAAATTTGTGAGAAAATTCCTAACTTAAGTTTGAATTCCTAACTTAAGTTTGAAATTAAAATCAATTACAAAAGTTAAATTATCTTATCACTGTTATTACTATAGGTAATAATTATAATTTGTATAATTATTATTTACTATCAATATTACCTTTGTCTCAATGAAATATCTGGTCCGCCAATGTGAATAAATCCATGTAAAGTTGTGATAGAACAAAAATTTTTGAATCTTCTCCATATCCAATGACCACATATAGTAAACGATGTTTCTGGAATATACGATTTGTTTATCATCACTTAATTTTTTTTTCACTTAGATCATTTTCATTTCAGCTACATTATGGATTAGGTTTTGTACTTTTTATTCAGCATGTCCTACTATAATTAACATGAATAGATATCATATTCAAAAAATAATGAGCAATAAAAGGTGTCATTTTTCAAGGTGAATATCATATAAACGCATCGTTTAAGCGACACCTTCCATGACGAACAGTAATTCAAAGTTAGTTACAGTTGCAAGATTAAAATCACAATATTTTATTCCATAAACTGTACTAAATAATTAATCTTCTTGTAAATGTATCCATGTAAGTGATTTTTAACGATCTTGGACAGTGATACAAAACTTTTGATAATAAGCGCTTGATTTTATTTTTAGTTCACTGATAACATGCTGCATATTCAAAGAATTTGTACAACAATTTTGCATTAAGGGTATTCACACTTCCATAAATTTACTTCTACATAATTTCCATGAATTTGATCTCATATCATAAATTTGCTTGAATCATTCACGGAAATGTTCAGGTGATTTTTGCTCTTGAAATTGATTTTTGAATTTAGCAGTAAAAGTATTACTATAATTGAACGGACTTGTCCTTGCAGAAGAAGTTTGTTAAAAAGTTCCAGAATTAAGTCTAAATTCACCAAAGATGGAAGAATTTTCAGTAAAATTAAATTAATTTTAAAAATTTTAATGTTTAAATTAATTTAAATTAATTTAAACCTATATTCTATATCATAGATAAATAAGTATGATTACCTATATAAAGAAATATGTTTTAGCAACTAAATAAAATCTGGATTGTTTATATACAATTTAAAATATTATCTCAACTGAAAATTTCGAGTATTAGTTTGCTTATAAACCTATTGCAAATTGCAACAATTTCAATGTGTAATGCCTCAACTAAAATCTATTATAACGAAATCAAGATTTTTTGTTTTTGATCTAATTTCGGGTTTAAAAGTTCCAGATGTATTCTAATATAATGCATTATAAATGTATATGTGTGTTATTGAATTTGAATATAATTGTTAAAAATTAAAACATTCAGTTTAAATTAATTTTTTATTTGTAAAATTTGTCATTATTAGCTTTTTTAGAGGCAATTTAAAATATAAGATGTAAGACAGTTATCAATAATCATATTAGCATTTGATGTGTTTACTATAAGCCTATTTATAATATAGCAAGTCATAGTTTTAGAAAATGCTGTTGATAGTTAACCGAGGTCGGGAATCACTGGTAGGTACTTCTTTGTTACTAAAGTATTTACTTACAAACATACATACACACACACACACACACATATATATATATATATATATATATATATATATATATTGCTTAATCATCTATCTAAATAAGACAGAAAATCAATTGTTCTGAGAACATCAGTGATGCAGCTCTTTACAATGATAGCATGCAAAGGTAATAAAAGATAAAATGTACTTGTACTTTTATTTTTAGACTTAAAATGGTTAATCATTTTTATTGAGCTGGGCATGGTTCCGTAATAAAAACACCTTGGCCAGATTTATATCGAGCAGTACTGTATTAATTGTTCATATTGAATAATAATTATTCCATTATAAAATTTGATATAACAACATTCTAAGCTATTATGATGTTCAGAAACAAAATCAATTTGTCGATAAAACATATGATATCAGCAAGTATTTTCATGTGAATTTCAAAATTAAGAATGTTCTTACAAAATTTAGATCGTTATACCAAAAAATAAAAATTTCCAAATTTACAACCCTTTTTTAGACAAACGAGAGTTATGTATCCGTAACGTTTAGATGGTAGCTAAATATATAATTGTATACTTTCGTGTATTAATTATAAGACTGTTTTAAAATACATACTGCAATAAGAGGTTTCACATTCATAAAGCTATTCCTTTATTATTCTAACACTAGGATTTTCTAGGTGATCTATAAGGACCCCCAATAATTGATATGACAAGTATGAAGGGTTCCAAAAAACCATGGTAACAAGGTGACCACATTTTCTCAAGTCAAAACCAGGACGGTAATTCGGAGGGGGAAGGGTAGGCAACGTTAAAAAATTTAATATGATTTCAAAATAACATATATTATTTAAGATTTTATTTAATCGGAGTTACTGACTAAGAATTTTATTATTCCATTATATGTAATATTTTATCTTATATTTTTGGAACTATGTTTTATCAGTTTTTGAAAAAAAAATTAAAATTATTGTTCATATTTCTTCATAATTGTTTAAAAATGAATAGCACTCATATTTTAACCCGTCTTTAGAATTTTGAACATGACGATTTTCTCATTCCTAACGTTTTGTTTCATATAATAAAAAATACCACGAAAAATTACCAGGTCACCCAAACAAATATTTAAAAGATTTAAGCGAGGAATCTCCTACTCGAAGATTGAAAAAAAAAATGGCCATACGATCTTAAATAAAATGTCCAAAAATTAAAAAAGAGATATCTTATAAGAGTAAGAGCAACAATTCAACTTAGGTCTATACTTTTCGAAAACTCTCGACAATCTGAGACAAACAACTAAACCCGGGACAAATATTACTTTTAGAGAAACCTCTGGGACGCAAGGTGGAAATTCGAGACTGACCCGGGCAAACCAGGACGTTTGGTCACCTTACTGGTACTCAAAATGTAAATGAGATCCAGGATGTACTTATAATTTAATATTAAAACATCAGATTCATCCGACCGAATAAAGTAAGTAATCAATTGTAGTTAGAAATTAATAAAATAATTAGCAGAAAAATATGGAACTCATACCGAAAGCGAAAGACGTCTCAAGGGGTCTACGACATAAAAAAGTTTAAAAACATTATTTATAGCTATAAATATTTACATATATTATTATCCGGAAAAAACTTGACGTCTGACTAATACACATTAATGTAGTAGACGTGATCAATATGGAAATATTAACACTACATTAATATGTACGCGGTCTTATCAGTGACCCCAGATGAAAGAATATACACACGTCGCGCGTATCAATATGGAACGGGCATTCCCATTTCCCATCATAGTTTATTTATTTCGGGTAAAAATCCCCTTTCTTCAATCAGCATTAATTCAGCAATTATAAATATTTAATGACGATTTGTTATGAGTATATAAACTGAACTCTTTGCATATCCGGCATCATTCACTAAACGTCTTCAAGTGCTTAAAGACGAAAACAATTCGAATTAATTGCAATTAATATTTAATACAATTCTATCAGAATGTCTTCAAGTGCTTTTATTATTCTATCTTGTTTGGTTGCTACAATGCTAGCATTTGCTAGTTCTCATCCTATGGAAAATCAATATTTGGATGCCAACTACTACGAAGAACCTTACCAAGTATATTATGGAGAAATAATGGATCAACAAGTGAGTTATCAATACCTGTTGTGTATATCATTACCTTTAATTAGATTTCAAAGAAAATTTGTTGGTTTCTAAAAATAGCACAATCCATTTTTTGCATGTTTCAATAACACAGGAATCTAGTATTTTACTACTATTTTCACACTTTACTTATACATCAAGCTGCTTGTAATGGTATATTAAGAGTAATAAAAGTAATTGCGTGTTATATAAAACTAAAGGTATTATTTATTATCCACTCGAGCATTACTTTGCGTATTTTCCTATATATTATCCAGAAGTCGCTCTACATTAAGATACCTATTGTTCACATTTTATTCATTATGGTTAATAATTTTTAATTTTTGAAAATATGTAATATTATAAAAAATCTGTTTAATTATTTGTTATATTTGGTTTAAAATTTAATTTTTTTAAATTTTATATTTGCATGATTTTGTATTATACAAACATCAATTAAAAGTTACCAAAATAGTTTTTGTGTCCAATGTTGCGCATATTTTTCAACTTCCGTAAGAGAAGTTTATGTTTTCATCAGAAGTTTTGTTTTGCTAATTTTATGCTTTCTTCGCGTTTCAAGTCATTCTGAATCGTTTGACATCAACATTAGAAAAAGTACTTATGCATGTGAGCCAAAATTTGACCTTTATTCGACGATTTTCCAAAAAAGGCTTCAGTTATTTAGTTTTGTAAGATAATCGGCTAAACGGTTACTTTAGAATCAGCAGAAAAGTGCAAAATTCGCACACCATTTGCTTTGAAATTTTATTTCTAAAAAGTTCATATTTGCAAAACTTTATATTATACAAACATCAATTAAAAGTTACCAAAATAGTTTTTGTATCCAATGTTTCAGATAGTTTTTAACCCGAAGGCGAAGTTTATGTTTTCACAAGAAACTTAACTTTGTTAATTTTATGTTTCTTTCCGGATGTAAGTAATTCTGAATGGTTTGACTTCAACATTAGAAAAAGTACCTATGCATGTGAGGCAAACTTTGACCTTTGTTCGACGTTTTCCCAAAAATGGCTGCATCCATTCCAAATGTCATTTGATGATAATCAATAAGGACTCATGTTATTTAGTTTTGTGAAATGATCGGCTTAGCGGTTTCTTTAGAATTAGCTGAGAAGTGCAAAATTCGTACACCTAAAAATCCTAGACTTAATTAGCAAGTTGTTCTAAAGATATCTTTAGAGAATCGTGGTCTAGGTGATTATTTGATGTTCTCCCAAAAACCATTTTAAAAGTCATTTGATGTAAATTAATAAAGATTTGCGTTATTTATTTTTGTGAAATGTTAGGCTTAGCGGTTTCCTTAGAATTATTAGAAAAGTGCAAAATTTTCTCGTACACTCAAATATCCTGAACCTAATTAGAAATTTGTTCAAAAAATGTCTTCATAAAATTGATTAGTTTTTGGTATACATCAGCCAGGCCGATTTTTCGTAATTGATTGCGGAACAAATCATTGCAATTATTGTTTGTACGTCCAAAAATTCTGAATCTAATTGAAAAATTGTTCAAAAGACATCTTTAGAAAATCGTGGCGATTAATTTTTAGGGGATGAGGGGGTTTATTTCTGACAAAAAATCTGAATATTTGAATTTGAAAATTTCTAAAAAAATGAATATTACTACGTATTACCAAGGGGAAGGGAAGGTCTAAAAATCCTTCAAAAGCTAGATTCACGATTCTTATTGATTGTGTCGATTCATACCTAGACACAGGCATTAATACCTAGTCCAAATTAGATTATGTCTAAAACTATATTAAGTATTCTAAGTGATTTAAAATTAAGTCTCGAAATATGATAAATTACAGAATTACCAAATTAATACAGATACAACACAAATATTTCAAAAATATATTACTTCTGCAGGATTTACTTCGCGAAAGACGATCACCTCATCCTGATACAATTTACGACAACGGAATCGTAAGAGGTGATATAAATCGTGACGATAACGGAAACACAAAAATTGGTGTCAGTGCCGGTGCCAATATTTACAAAGACAAAGCTCGCAGTGTTGACGCCGAAGCCCAATGGTCAAAAGTTATGAGTGGACCAGGACGGGCCAAGCCTCAATTTGGAGGAAGAATTACTTACCGTTGGTAAAAGGATAGTTTGGTAAAAAAAAACATTTTTCAACTAAAGCAAACGGCACATCTAAGTATTTCAAGAAATTGTTTAAGTAAGCATTATTTTTTTGCACCCGATGCAAAAAAACTTACTTATATGTAACTCACTTCAATATCAACAAACTTATGTGATTTGTAGTTTTAACAAGTTTCTTAATTAATTATTTTTAAAAGCTACTAACGATTGATATTTGTTTAATGGCATATTTGTGATTTGTATACGTATGTGTATTTAGAAGAATCATTCAAGTATTTTAACCCTTTCCACTCGGATGCCGCATCTCCGGTGACAAAATACATATAAATCTCGCAATTCGCGAGTAGAAAGGGTTAAAAATCCAAGAACAACTTTATTATCTATTCAGTAAAAAACCAGTCTAGACTCCCCTGGTCCAGAAATCAATTTTTTCAATTTATTTCATAATTTTTGCATAGATTAAATTATAGGCTAGTCATATGCAATATATGTTACTATGATGCAATATTATATTCTAAAGCAAAAGAATAATAATGAACACTTTTTTATACATTTTTTCCAAAATTAGTCTAGTATAGATAACTATATTATTAATTTATTTTATTTCATAATTCTTGCTTTAAATTGTGGACTAGTCATATCTATTACAATGCAATAACCTAGCCTAATGTACAACAATAACAATAAAGACTTTTTTATATATGAAATTTTTTATTGCATATGCGATAATTCTCACATAACATAGTTGAATAATACTTATTCGGTTAAAAACCGCACATACATGTGGTTAGTTCCGGAAGAATAAGAAGAATTATATTTGTAATAAGTGAAACCAATTCCGCATTTGGTAAAAAATGTCATTATAAATGACGTATTAAATATTATCCTGTAAGTGCTTTGATGTCATTAACTATTGATAAAAAATTATTTATGAATGGCTCCAAAAATACTTTGCCTTGCAAAATACTTTAAATTGGTCGTTACTCATTTATCAACAAACTAGATGTAAGTGGGATTTTGTCTTAAGGCAAGTTACATGATTTCTTAATATTTGTTTATAGTCAACATAATTGAGAAGGATTGAAATTTAAAATTCAAAATGTGTTGATAAAATTTTGAAAATTTAATACTGCCCATTATTTTGCATGTAAATGTACTTTTATTTTCGTAGACCTATAATATTTAAGGACCTTATCACCATACAAAGATACATCAAAATCGTCAAAAATAAATACAACAATTAATTAACAAAAATTAGCAAAAACTAGTCAACACAATTCCCAACTAGTATCTTTCAAACAATTTTTAAATTTTTAAAATCGTTCAGGATTTTTTGCGAAGGCGTTGACTAAATTTGTTGCTATTTTCTACTTATGCTGAAGAAACGGCTTGGCCGATTGCAAAATGAATCGAGGCAAATCCGCTTTTGAGAAATCCAAAAATTTGGATCAGAGGCGTCTATTAAACACCTGAGGCTTTTAGGGGGAGTGGGGTTTGACAAAAAATCACGTGGGGGAGGTAGGGGTCTAGTAAGATATCATGTGTATTTACTTTTTACCTAAATTTTCAGAAAAAGACACCACCTTTTACGTTTTTCTCGTAAATTCGAGCAATTTCATGTAACTAAAAATACACGTGGGGTTTGGTGGGAAAGGGGGGCTAATTCTAAACATTAGGCGTCCATTAATCACGTGAGCGAGGATTTTTGGAAACACGCCCCCCTTGATATATGGTGATATTCAAAATTACCTCCTCACACCAAACATTACATATATTTTTAGATACGTGTAAAAATAGTAAAATTGGTTTTTTTTTTTGAAAATATTTGAACTTTTTTAAAAAAAAAATAGTTAAAAAATAAATACACGTGATATTTTACCCTCCCTCCCCTACATGATATTTCATGATTTTTTGTCAAACCCCTCCTCCCCTTAAAAACCTCTCGTGTTTATTTTGGAATATTTGGAATGAATCCCAAAAAAATCGATCACGTGATTAATGGATTAATGGAATGTAATACATTCACACGCACACATTTATCAATCTTGATCTCAAACGATTCAGAGTGACTTGAGATGTCAAGAAAACATTTCAAATAAACTAAACGGATTTTCTGACGAAAAGACAAACTTCAATTACTCATATAAAAATTATTCATATTTAATATTAACAATAATTGATTACATATTACTGATGACCTTTTATGTAAATATATGACAATCACAAACTTCATCAATCACTCACATTTTTACTGAGAATAATAAATCGTACAAAACTCCTACAACAAAGTTCTTCGGAAATACCGTGTGCGCTTGTGCCATATACTTTCACTTGACTCATTCTAAGAGAACTATGGACAATTCTCAAATTTTTCAAAATATAATGATTGAGTCGCGCGTTCCAGGTTTTTCCAGTATCTATTGATAGCATTTCATAACAAGAATTATCAAAATAAATACGCAAGGTCTGCAGATTGTTCTTAAAATAAACCGTGCCTTATACGCAGAAATGATTGTCTAGCTTTTGATTGATACTGTTTTGCAATGGTGAAGTCCCAAGTAGGCGAGATTCCCGACCGGCGCACATACACGCGAATAGGTTGAAGAATGTGGGTAACTATGAGACTTTTTTAAGATGTGGGTCGGTATATATAAAGAATGTCGCTCATGAATGAAAGATGTGTATAAGATAAATAGACTCTTGCAAATAAATACTATTGTTACCGCATTAATACTAGAGTACGCATAATGCCGCATTATATTCTGTTGTCGCTGATTGGAAATTCTTAACCGTTTTGTGTTATGAAAAACCATTCGTTAATACAATTTTATCTAGTGAAAATGGTGAAAAGTGATTATTAAATAACAAAAAATAAAATCTGTGTAAATAAATATATATAATATAATTAAAATACAAAATCAAATCAGTTATTAAAATCCAAATTTTGAATAATATGTGCCAAAATATGGATAACACAACTAAACTTCCTTACATCTTTACGAGGATACTGGAGATTTTAACAAGAAGTACAACACCTCACCCTACAATTTTATTCAACAAGTGAACTGAGTTTTTTTTTTCAATAAGCACCAAACTGAAACAAATTAAGAATAATATGTTCATACAACATATTTGTATCAACTTTAATTGCAAAAGTTGGTAACGTTTTAAGAATGGCCGCTGCCACCATGCGTATCTTCAGGAGTCTGATATTTCATATTAATTAGTTCTGTATGAGAAAAAACACCAATAATTCAGAAAATAATCAGTTACTCAAACCATCATTTTAAACCCAACATATGGATAATTTCACTAAATTTTAAGTAATGGTGTGAAGATTTTACCAAGAGGTACAACACATAACCCGACTATTTTATTCAACAAGTGATTTGAATTTTTTTCAACTCGAATGAATTGAGAATAGCATGTTTGTGGAACATATTATAAGAACATTCAATTGAATAAATATGTTTTCAAAAATAAACATATCCACATCAACCTTATAAGTTGGTACATTTTAAGAAATACCGCTACCACCATGCGTATCATCAGGAGTCTGATATTTCATATAAATTAGTTCTGAATGAGAAGAAATCCAGCAATTCAAAAACGAGCCAGTTACTAAAATCCTCGATTTAAATCCAAACTATGGATAATTTCACTAAATTTTCGTTCATCTTTGCTAAGATTGTGGACTTTAACAAGAAGCACAACACCCTAACCCAGTGATTTTCAACTGCACTAAATTTAAAAATAATATGTTTTTAGAACGTTTATTTGAATTATTTATTTATTTGAATAAATCAAGATGTTTGTGAAATAAACAGATCTACCTCAACTTTAATTGAAAGTTTTAAGAAGGTATATTTTAAGAAATGTCGCTGCCACCATGTATATCCTCAGGAGTCTGATATTTCATATGAATTATGAAATAATATGGATAACACAACAAGTAAATTGAATTGCTTTCAACTCAATTAAATTTAATACTAAAAGTTGGTAATAGTTTTAAAAAGTCGGGTGGAGTTTGATATTTTGTATAAATTAGTTCTATATGAGAAAAAATAAAGCTTATCAAGACATATTAATTAAGTTCTAAGTAAGCTGAAGGCAAGAATATCCAGAGCTTTTACTACCAGATATTGATTTTTAAATATTATAATTTTTGTGAAAATAATTAAAGATATAACTTATTTTATTAAAAATCTTGTAAATTTACAAATTTCACTCATTTTTTAATAAATTTATCGAAAAAAATTCACCTATTTCTTTGCTACTAAGGCTATGCCATTTTCATTTAATTTTCAAAAGAAGTAATGCAAATTAAATTAAATTTTCTAGTCCATTGGAAAAACAAAATTAAATTTATGTTATTTATTTTATATATATTTATTTATTTATTTTGTTATTTATTATGAATAATGTCTCTTGTCAATAAATAATTATTCAAGAAAATTTTGTTTAAATCAATTATTCTCTATTTTAAGTAACATATAGAAGAATATGGCAATAGAATCAGCCCTTTTTGAAAAAAAATTGATGGTAAAAACAAATACCAATTTCGACAATTAAGTTTTGGAGAATGTTTCAATAGTTCAAGTGTTCAAGTGTTTGAAAATATAGCTCTAACTTATACAAGATTTTATTCAAAAATATCTTCAAGAATTATTACATCGATTTGTATTTGTAATTTTAAAACTGATAAAAAAAATTGGCTGAATTTAGCATAATAAATTTCAACTTGAATCCAAATTATTGAAGATATAATACTTTCTTATCTTATAGAAATTAGGTCAATTCAGTGGTATATATATTTGTCAAATCATTTTCAAACTAAATATATTTCACATTTTATTGGCTTAGTGCACATTTTTTGTGAATTTTAGAGAAAAATGTCTGTGATAATGAAAAGAATGGGAATTAAGCATTTGACACACAAATAAAACAATTTGCTTTAATTTTCAATATTAGACCTCCAAAATTTTAAAACATAAATCTTT